ATTGTAGCCTCCTCCTTTGTTTCCCCTTCCCATCCCTTCCCAGCCTCCCCCCGCCCTCCCACCCAATCCTCCCCCCTCAAAATATTTTTATTAGAATATATTAATTGTACAAGGCAGGATTCATTGTCACACTTCCATACATACGAGCAATGTACACCAATCAAACTCATCTCTTTCCCTTATCCATCTCTTTCCTTTATCTCTCCATCTCTTTCCTTTATCTCTCCTGGTTCCCTTCTTGAGTTTGATCAGGTGCTGTTCTATTTCCATGCATGCATATAAAGTACTTTGCTATATTCACCCTCCTTCGTCCTCTCTATTGGTCCTTCTTTCCTCCATCTGCTACCTTCCCCCCAATAGAGCCTGTTTTAGTTTCTGTGATTTTTTGGATATATCATTTGTTTGGATATATCATTCAAAGAGGTTTTACCATGGTAATTTACATATAATTTACTAAATTTAACTTCATCTATTGCTGTCTCTTTCCCCATCCTCCCAGCTCCCTCATTGTTCAATAGTTTTCAGTGAGTTTCCTTATGTCATCTTCATAAGAGACATGATGTATTTCAATAGTTCATCTCTTATCATTCTCTTCCTATCTTCCACTACCCCCCCAAGCCATCCCATACAGTTACATTATGTATAATATAAATGTATATATAAAGCACAAATAAATATATGCACACATATATTTACATGTATATATATATGCATATATATATATATATATATATATATATAAAATAATCTTCTAAGTCTAAATTCCACAACTGAGTGAAAACATGCAATATTTGGCTTTTGAACTTGTCTTACCTTGATTCAACATGGTGATCTCCAGTTTCATCTGCTCTCCTACAAATGATACAATTTTACGTTTCTTTTTGGATATGTAATAGTGGGGTTTTGTTTGTTTATTGTTCTTTTGTTGTTGGTGGTGGTCGTGAGGCCTGAACTCTGGGCCTGGCACTCTCCCTTAGCTCCATCTCAAGGCTAGCGCTCTACCATTTGAGCTACAGCACCACTTCCGGCTTTTTCTGCTTATGTGGTGCTGAGGAATCAAACCCAAGGCTTCATGCATGCAAGGCAAGCACTCTACCACTGAGCCACCTTCCCAACCTCTATTCTTTTTTTTAAGACAGGATACTGCTCTCAGGGCACTGGCAGCTCACGTTTATAATCCTAGTCACTCAGGAAGCTGAGATCTGAGGATTGGAGTTCAAAGCCCCCCAGGGCAGGGAAGTCCATGAGATCATATATCCAATTAACCACCAGAAAATGGGAAGTGGCACTTGTGGCTCAAGTGGTAGAGCACTTGCCTTGAGCTCCTGCCTCAGCCTCCCAAGTGCTGGGAGTATAGGTGTACGCCATCATACCCACCTTCAAGGAAGTTTTATAGTAGAAGATTGGTGTAATTAGATTTGTTTTTAAAAGGTAAGTGTTTGGAGTATGGCACACAGATTGGAGAGGGAAGACAATGCTAAATAACCATATGATGACTTTCATTAGACCAGGCAAGCGCTGATGAGAGCTAGAACTAAGGAAGTGATGGTAAAGGATAGAAAAAGGGGCAGAGTGAAGAAGGAATTTAACAGTGCTCAGAGTGAATAATCTGTTTCAATTGAAGTTCTTAGTCAAGGGAATAATTACATATGAAAAATAGCCACTTCTGCTGCAGTTTCAGCTTTTTGTTTTCCCTAACAGATGGTTTCCCAGAGACTGGTTATTCTCTTCAACTTCCAATAATTGTTTATAGAGCCCTTTCATAACTGGGCTTTTTAAGTAGTGATCATGTTTTTATAAAAGTTCTGAAAGTAGTTGGGCACTGGTGACTCAGGCCTGTAATCCTAGCTATTCAGGAGGTTCAGATATGAAGATCGTAGTTCAAAGCTAGCCCCTGGCAGGACAGTTCGTGATACTCTTATCTCCAATTAACTACTAGAAAACTGGACATGGTGCTATGGCTCAAATGGTAGAGTACTTGTCTTGAGCTGAAGAACTCAGGGACCGTGCCCAGGTACTGTCAAGCCCCACAATCAACAAAAAAATATTTTAAAAAATTAATTAGATAATAGAGAAGCATCCTTTTACCAAAATTGAGCAAATATCCCTGGAAATGAAAGTACAACATATGGTACTTTAAAGTCTACTTGATTTTGAAATCTGGCACTCATTTATTTGCTCGTTATATATTCTCTTAGGAATTTCCTCGGTGGCAGAATGGAACAAGTAGTTGGACAAAACTCTAGAGAATATTTTTCTCATCAGAGATCTTCTGCTAGCACATTGACTTGTAGATAATTGATCTCTAGTGAGGTAAATTACTTTTTAGACTATTTAGATCAATTCCGTCATATTTCAAGAAAAAAATTTCCAGAGAAGGTAAGTGAATTATCTAGAAGTTGTTGGAAATAATACACCTTTGTTTTTCTCAAGCAGAAATAAGTTTCAGAAAGCAATGTAACATCTCTGTTAATTCTGATTTAAAATACAAAACAGAAAAAACAGTATTCTTAATGAGATCTGAGCTCCCTGGGACATTGTGTGCCAGAACTAGTTCAGCTTGATAGAGCACTGGCAAGTGGAGGAGGTGCATTTCTGTTCAATGACTGTATAACTAAGGTTAATCAGTGTTCTGACTTTGAAATACCCTGCTTCATTTGGTAGGAAGCAATGCAGAATCAGGTGAATGCTAACCCAGAGAGAGCCAACCCTGTGACTAACCCTGTGACTGTGGCTGCTCCATTCATCTTCACCTCAGGAGAGGTAGTTAACCTCGCTAGCTTTGTTTCTTCAACCAGCACCAAAACAACCTCAGGTAATGGTCAATAACATGACATGGCTTTTAGACCTAAAAATGAAGAGAACCCCAAGTTTTTCTAGAAATGAATGAATACTCTAAAGGTATGATACTCATCCTTTTTTGGGGGGGTTGTGGGGCTTGAACTCCAG